GGCCCCTGAATATCCCTCTTCTTTCTTCTTACTCTCCCTTCAGATCTCTTCCCCTCCCATCTTGACATTTAAATCCATTTGTTTAAAAAGGAAAAAAAGAAAAAGAACAAGAGTGAAACCCACCTCAAGCAGCAGAAGTGGAACACACTCCTCCTGACGTAGTTAACCTAAGAGAAAAATAGATTTTGTTTTCCTTTTTTAGGCGCTAGCTTTATTAGATTTCTCACTCTCACAGATTATCCGAAGACTACCCATTGATTGATCGCCCGTAGAGCTGCATTTGGTGTAAAGAAAAAACTCACAGCTTTATTGGCTCCCAGGAGACAAAACAAACAGAACAAGATATTCATATTAATGCAAACAATGCAACAAATGAGGGAAGAATCGCCCGGCTGCAGCGAGGCGCCGAGCGGCGGCGGGCCGGGCAGGGCCGGGCAGGGCCTGGGCCCCCAGCCGCCGAGGATCCCGGGCTGCCCGACCCCGCTCCCCCGGACGGCCGGCGGAGGGGCCCCGGGCCCAGGCGCCCCCCGCAGGCCCGCAGGCCCGACGGCGCCCGGCGAGGCCTCCAGCCCAGGCCTCAGGGAAGCGCCGCCTCAGGCCTCGACCCCGCCGCGCAGGCCCGGAAGGCCCCAAGCGCTGCCCTGGCTGCCTGCGTTCCCTGTGCACACGCCTCCAGGGGCCCAGCTCCCGCGGCTCAGTCTCCCTCTCCCTCCGGGGCGGGGCGGGAGGGGAGAACTCCCGGTGTGCCTCCGCGCCCACCTGAGGCAGCCCGGAAGGGGGGCGAGAAAGACGCCAGGGAGCGCCGTGGAAGGAGGAAGCGATGCGACGCGCATTCTCTCTTCGAAAAGCTCACAGGATCATGGAGGAGACTCTGTAAACACACGTTTAAATACAACACAACACACTGTATAATCAACAGCGACGGGAGTAGGATGTACAGCGGAGGAGCAACATTTAAGAGGCACTGAGCCTTTCCCTGCGAAATGCGGAAGAAAGAAAATTCCAGGCACGGAAGGGGATATTTGCTCCACATCTAATCACCGTCTACCCCCCGCCCCCAAAACACAGAAAGCGAAAAACTAGGGGAAAATTTAAGTAAAACTGGATTTCACATCTTTATAGTCAATGAGATATGAAAAATACGGTTGCCAAGTATTGCAAAAAAATTATCTGAAATTCAAATTTAACTGGGCATCCTGTATTTTTATTTGCTAAATCGGGCAATCCTAACTAAAAAATACTTTATTGAAGAAATCATACAAGAAGCAGGGCTTATTCTCTACTGTATATTTATCAGGATATTCGGGACATTTTTAAAGGGACTTTGCTTGGAAAGGAAGTGAGTTAGCCCCACAGCATACTTTTCCAAGCACATCGTAGGGTGGAGGAAGAAGAAATGCCTGAAACACTTGGAAATGTCCTATTTTGGAGGAAGTGGCAGTGGCATTGTTGACTCTTGACTAGAAAATGGACCAGCATTCCCTCCCTGAGGCTGGCTCCTTTCCGGGCCAGTAGAGGGACCCTAGCGAGTCCGGAAGTCGTGTCCGTTACAATGGTACTCCCATGTCAGAAATACGTATCTTTTGTCTAAACTTTTACTATAGACCCACCTTACTTATTGCTATTTGTTTTATTTCGAAAGAAACAAAGTTGGGACTTGAAAACTTTAATCGTGGAAGGGCGGAGCAAAATCTGCTTCGAAATTTATCGTGTTCTAACCTACAAATAGAGCTCATCCAGGCCTTGTAGATGCTGAAAGAAAAGACTTTCAAAATGGCAATGGTAAAACCTCAGGAAAAACTAAACAAAATAGTGGGTCTTTGCACACTGGAGTGCTTGTGTGTGAGTGTGAGGGAGTCCCAACGCTGCTTTGCGGAGGAAGCCTGCTGCTTGCACTTCTCCCTCGGTCCGCGTTAGAGAAAGCTGTTTCAAGAAAGCTTTATCACCCTGACTGATACTTTGGATTCCCAGGGAGCCTGCCTTCCTTTTAAGCCAATTGCTTGAAGTTGTATGAATACATCCACACAGGATGCCCCTTTCTCGCTGGCGATTGATGCTATTTAACAACTGCAAATGGAGAAACTATTTGTCTAATGAGAGCTGTTTCCTGTTGATTCACCAAAACTTGGAAGCTAATACAATGCTGAGACTCCTCCGGAGTCGCAGGGCCATCTCTAGAGTGAAGGCCAACTCTTGAACCAAATGACATATTATGTTTGGTTTAGAGAATGTTTTAGTTCCAGCTTAATAGTTTTAGAAAATACATAGGTTCGCTTCCAGTTCAAACTGGTTTCCTTTTTGTTTTCTCTCCCACAGAAGCTATAAACTTTGGTTTAGAATTTGGACTGTTAAAGAGCTAGCACGGTGGTTTGGGTGTTATGGTGAGGTTTGACTCCATGCTTTAGAAGTACAAACCTTTTTTACCTTCTCTTCTACCTTAGTTCCTGTCTCAAGCTACAAAAATACGTTCGACACTAGTTGTGCCCTCATTGGAGCAGGCATGAGAAACGCTGCACATTCTGTGCGCTAAGGTGCTTCATCCTCCCAGCAGAACTGTGCTGGGGTCCGTGTCAGGGCGGTGATAAATTGATAATCCCTAAATAATACACCCCACCCCATGGTCAGTAATGTCAGGCTCCCTCCTGCCTCTGTGGGTTAGCATAATGGTTAGTCTCTTTGTATACAAAAGACTTCTGATATAATCATTTAACCTTCCTGTGAAGCCAAGTACAAAGCCAGTGAAAAACTTTTTCTTTTTTGAGGTGAGGGATTATTATGGAAAAAATAGTGGCTGGAAAGGCAGGAGAGCTGGAGTTGGGTTCTAGCTATTTGAGTTGGCTTGAAGAACTCTTCATTCAATTTAGACACAGTTTCTTGTTTTTCTTGTTGTTTTGTTTTGTTTTGTCCACACAAAAAGAAAATTGGATTAGGCAATCTTTAAGATTTTATTTCTAAAACAACTATGCCTTCAATTAATTAATACGTGACATCTTTTGTACGCTGCTTCCAAAGGATATAAGCAAGATATTTTTTTCAATTTATTCATGATATAGCCCTAAACAACGAAGGAAGCGTGGGCACACGCCAGGTTATCTACAGTCCAGATTCCAAGGGGACATTCAAGTGAGGGAGACCAGTTCAACATTAAGGGGTTCCAGAGTCAGGTGCGAATACTTTGGAGAAGTGTGAGTGACTTAAAGACAAGCAACCTTGTACAGACAGGACCAGGGGATAACATGTTTGAGAACTTATACTTCAGTCCTATTTGGGGATGGAAACCACAGAAAGAAGAAGATTGCGATAAAGCTAAGGTTATTTAGTAAATATATGTGGCATCATCATTCTGGAGGTTCTGGTATTTGCTGACTTTAAGTGTATGAATTTATCCACGAGGAGCTCTGAGGCTGGAGGAAGTTAGCAATCTAGTTGTAACAGGTTCTAGAAACAACCTAAGAAGCTTGCTTCCTCTTATCCTATCAGTGTTATAAGGTGATGTGTCTTTTAATTTGAGGCCCTCGTTGAACTGTAAGCTCCAACAAGCTTTCGCTAAACAGACTTCATTCACATTCTGAATCTGGTTTTTGTCTCACACATATTAAATTTTACAAAACAGAAAGAAACAATAGAGCTTATTAGGAAAAACTTGTTTTGAATCGTAAATTAAGCATAATTGAAATAGGCACATGTTTTAGCACAGTTTTCCCCCCTTTTTTACCAACTGAACATTTACATCTTTTTCAAAGCGCTGTGATTTTCCCCTAAAGTCTTAAGCTGGCACCACACACTTTCAATAAATGAGTCTTACATCATTTGTATCTACTGAGAGAAATCATTCTAATACTGTGGATTCCAAATGCACAGCCTTCTGAAAAAAGAGTTTTAAGCAATCATCCCTCCACTGTATTAATCAAATCATTGTGGCATTCGAAGAATCCACAGAGCTACCTAATTTCAAAGACTGTAAATCAACTGTCAGTTCTGACTGCTTTCAAATTATGCCCTGTTCTTGGAGACTGGAAACCTGTACATTCAGAGGTACACCTGACTAGATGGTTTGTTACTGAGAGATATGCCCCAGGTGGAGGCGTCTTCAAAGCCAATATATTTTCTTTATAACTGGTGTCAAATTGATGTATATATTAAAAAATCTTGGAAAATGATCTCAAAAAGGAAGCAACAGCCCAATGAGCCATATGTTCAGGGAACCTAACAGGTTTCCATTGGGACCAAATTTCACTTCACCTTTTTGTCCTTATGTGCAAATAAAAACTTCTCTGTAAATACACCATTAAAAACAATCATGCAAATTTGTGAAATCTATAGACTGAGAAGAAATTACACTAAACCCATAACAACCAAGTTGTTGGAAGGTAAAGAATTTGATTAGATAATAGAAATGCATCACATAACATGGAATTGAACTATATTTACTTGAACTCTATAGGTTCATAGCTTAAAGAGAGACTTTGCTTCTATAGAATTGGTTAATGAAGAAAGAGAGAATTGGTTAATGAAGAAAAGGCTGATGAATAGTTAATAGATTCCTTAATTTTGATAATGATGGAGCATCTGAATCTCCAAGTTTACATTACTAAATGTAAAGTTATTTTTTTTCCTATTAGATAGGTTGCTATTTTAACAGATTCAGATGCCAGAGAATTTTCCAAATGCCAGATAATATTCTAGCACTGAGAAGTCTGTGATGCACTAAGGGCAGAGAGGCCGGCTCAGTGGTTTCCCAAATAGTGGAAACCAAAAAGCATTAACATTTACTTACACACAATTCTTTATGTAATTCTTTTAAGAATTCTCAATTTTAAAACTTTTAAACATTGTGTATTATTTTAGTAGATCCTAACAATTTTGCATTCAGCTATTGTATTGTATTGTATATTGTAGACTATGCCTCGGGATATGCTAAAAGGAAAAATGATTCACTCTGTGCGTTTGTGTAGTTTTTCATACCATTAGATCAATGATGATGATATAAAACACCAAAATTTACTCATTTGTATTTTATTTTTTGTGTTGTACTTTTATCATGAAACATTACAAACAAAGAAGAGTAGAGAGAATAATATAAATGAAAAACTCGTGTATATACGACAGCTTTATCAAACGTTCACGTTTTACGTTGATTTAAATGAACAATTGTGTGTGTAAAGTTCTGCAATAGTAAAGGTTGGCAGGAAAAAAATCAGACTGCATGGATTATCTTTCAGCCATTTCCTTTGCCACCTATGGCTTGGAGAAGGAAGTTTTATGATGTTGATTTAGACACCTGGTTAGCTAAATAGCAGGGAACGCGGTAGAAGGAATTGCATCCTCATTCAGTCCAAATGCCTACCAGTTCTCTGTAGCTGTGATCCCTTTAACCTAGTTAAGACAGAAGAATGTCAATGTTTTAATGTTTTTTTAATCTCTAAGGGTACTTTCTGTAAATTTGTAATAGTGAAAATGTAGGAATAAAAGTGTATTTTAAGCAAAAGCTTGACGCTCAACAATCAGCTTTTCACCTCAAAAGGAGGAGGAAATTGTATCCAAAATCTCAGGTCCCGGGCCTTCCTCAACAGGTACAGGAGACCTTTCTCGGCAGACACTCGGGTTCCGGTGGATTTTCTGTGGAGGCCAGAACACCGTGCGGAGCAGCCAGGCGGGGTGCTGCCAGATAGGCCCCGGCCCCCTCTGGCCTCCAAGTCTCCGCGGCAGAGGGTGGGGTGGCCGGTTTCTCAAAGGCGCTCTCTCACCGCGATGGTTTAATGGTGTTTCTCTGGGGGACCAGAAGTCCCTTAGTCTAGACTTGGGGTCAGGAGGTCAGGCCTTGGAAGCACAACTAATGCAAAGGCCCTTTATTTATCTTTCCTCTCTGTGCTTATTAATCGGGTAGGTATCCTTCTGGCCTGATTGGGGCGCGGAGGGTGCTGGGGTCTGCAGGGCTCAACCAGGGAGGGGGACTTGGCTGGCGGCTGCTCCCGGGCGGCCTGGGGCGGTAGCAGCGGCGCTGGGTCCGGGTCGGGGACCTGCCGTCCGTCCAGGGGCCTTCTTTGCCTTCTGGCCCCAACTCTCTTGCCACCCCTGGCTGTCGCTCGCCCTTCCCGAATTCGCTTGGCTTCCCACTCGCTGCCCAGCGCGTGCAGTGCAGCAGCAGAGAGCAGCGGGCGCTTGAAGGCAGGCTGCCGGGCCTCTTCCCTGGACGGGGCGCGGCCCGCGGGCCCTCGGCACCCCCGCGCGGGGAGCGCTCGCCGGCGGCGCGCGTGCGGCCCGGGCCACCGGAGGGTGCCCGCAGGGGACGCGGTGGTCGCGGTGGCGGTGGCTGGGTTCCACTCGCCAGCGGCGGGAAGGACGCGCGGGAAAGCGAGGGAGGAGGAAGCGGGTGGCGGCGGCGGGCCCGCTGGAAAGGAGGGAGCGCCGCAGGCGGGAGGAGGGAGCGCGGAGGAGGGAGGCCGCGAGGAAGGAGGGAGCGCGGCAGGCAGGCGGAGGGAGGGCTGATTAGCATGCAGCAGCGCTCGCGCGCCCGGCTCCATTGTTTTAACACCTCCCCTCTCCTCCGCGCCAATCTGTCACCGTTCAGCAGGCGAACGCTGCTGCCTCAAATGCTGCTCTTCTCAAATGAGACGGATAATTAGTTGCCCCGCACGAATGCCGCACTCTTCTCACCCCTGATTGCTATCACCTTCTTGCTCCTGGCAGTTTTGACACCTCGTAATCAGCCTGCTGCTTTTCTCTTTTCTTCCCGACTTCTGCTTCCCTCCCCCCCTTTCCTTCTTAGTTTATTTATTTATTATTATTATTTTAAATGCAATCCCGGTTCCTATTTGGACGAGGCCTCCGCCGAGTTAACCTTACGCGTATACATGGGCGCATAAATGTGTACACGTAAAATAGAGTGTATGTGCGGGAGTCGGGGGCGGGCTTGCAGTTTTGCGGGAAACACTGCTTCCACGCGGAGAGAATTCTCTTCTCCTTAAGATATTTTTGGGAAGGGAGGAGTTGGGGAGAGGGACGGGAGGGGAGAGTTGGGGAGACCTCAATTAATGCTCTAAAGATCTCTTAGAAATTAACAAACTGGGGAGTCTCGGAATCTGCTGTCAGAAGCGTGTTTTCCCCTCTCTCCTCTAACAAGCACTGACAGTCTAATTACTGTAGCTACAAGCAGCTGTCGAGGCAGCAGCCCGGGAGAGAAGGCGCCACAGGCTGAGCGCACCCGGCCGGCCCCTGCGCCCGGCAGACCCGCCGAGGCCCGGCCCAGTCCGGGGAGGACGGAGGGAAGGGCAAGGCCCTGCACCCGAGAGCCCCGCGAGCGCGGAAGGCGGGCCTAGGAGCCAGCGGACGCGCTTTTCGTTTTATATTTATCAAGTCTTTACCTTGAAGGTTAAAAGATGTGAAGAAAAAAGGAGGGGACGTGGGGGAGTAGGAAGAACATCTCTTGAGCTTCTATCCACCTCTTTCCTACCTCCTCAAGCTCTCCCTCCCCCCGTGTTGGTAAAATAACCACGCAACCCGGGCTGAGGGGGCGGGGTGAGCCAGGCTGGAGTGTAAGAAAGCAGATGTCCCCGCTGGCAGCAGCCTCAGCCTCCGGGGAAAGCTGCACCGGGGGGGGGGGGGGGGGGGGGGGCCCTCTCGAGGACATTCACCTCCCACTTCTCAGGCATCCCGCTCACAACTGCCTCGCCTCGGCGGGGGTGGTTTTTTCAGACTCAGCGTTTTCGCGTGTGCAGCTTTTTTACCTGGGAGCTGTTCTTACCCGGCCACGCTTAGCAGATGCCAAGATGCAGCCCCTGCACGACTCAGTACTAATAAGAGACAGAGGGAGAGACCTGGGGGGTGTTTCAAGTTGCAGCCAGGGCCACCTCTGCAGTGCGGGACAGGAGCCTGTTCTCCAGGCTGCCTCTCTTGTGGCCCAAGAGGGCCTTTGTCCCTCGGAAGCTGGAGCTTGCGGTAGCCTTGGAACCGAAAAGAAAACAAGAGTATTAAAAGTGGTGGAGGGGGGAAAAGGGTGGACTGGAGAAGAGGGGTCAGTGATACACTTTGATGTGAGTCACTTTCTGGGCTCTAATTTCCTTTGGCTGTCAGCAGGCAAGTAGATGTCAACTGTGTGAGAGGGGCTCTTCCTCTTCTAGAAAAGAAGGAAAAGAAAATCCCTTTCACTAGATAGGTACAGTCGTATATTTTGGCTGGTACACGCTGGGAAGTTTTTATTTTTAATTTTGTGTGTGTGGGAGGAGTGAGTGAGAGGGGAGGCTGGGTGGGCGGGAGGTAGGGGGAAGGGAAGAGGCTTGAATAATTGTCTAAGCATTTCCATTCAGCCCCAGCGGCAATGAAAGAAAGATGTACACGCCTCAGAACCCTTCCCAGTGAATACCGAATAACCCCTATGTCACCTGGGTGAGGAAGATGTCAACGTGATGTGCTTGACGCCCTGAGAAGTCTCGGCACCGCTCTCGTTCTTCCATAAGTTAAGGTTCTTTACAGTGGCACAGGGGCCTGCTCCAATTCCCCATCCTAAACCTCCAGCTCTTTAAAACACTTGCTCCAAAGAACGCTTAAATTTCTGTTTTGAGAGTTGCAAATCAATGTTTACTTCATAAAATGGAACCCATGCCTCGAACATTTTTAAAAATTGAGGGGAAAAGAGAAACCTAAAAGACAATAATCATACGGAAGAAAATGAAAGGGAGGTCTCATTTTAAACAAAATTCTGCAGCTTTCTGCAATTTGGTATCCTCTCTCTGAAATGCCTTCCAGTGGCTGCAGATCAGGCTGCTAACAATGAATAACAAGTTTCTCAACAAGAATGTGAACATTTCTAATATAAATTAATAAATATGGATAGTCCTTACAAGGTTTTAGATTTGCTCTCATTAAATACAAATGTCTCTTTAGCAAGTTTAGTTTGAAAAGTAATTTTAAAATTCAAAGTGATCTACTAGTTATAATAAAATGTCACTAGATCTGGTATCACTCTTCTATCAGGTTACTGGAAAGAAAACATGAATTTTATAAACTTCTCAAAAATGTGATTTATTTTTTTACTCAGGAACAAAGACCACATTAATAATCACAACAGAAGTAACTTTTTAATATTTAACTCATTTTGTCATGTAGCTATACACATAGTAAAAATTAAAACCATGTATATTATTTTAAAAAATCTAAAGTGTTTAAATATTCTACCAGTGATTTTATCACTGGGCAACAAATGTCTTAGGTTTGGTATCTACTTAGATTTTTATGTTGTCTGCTATTCTCTATTAGAGGTTTATTCAAAAAGAACATCACCTATAGCATAAATAACCTAAATTTTTATATGAAAAAACTCTATAAACATTTGACATCACCAAATTCAATAGATCTAACTAGAAATCCAAGCAATAAGCTTAGATATTTGAAACAAAGATAAATTATGATTCTATAATTCCATAAGTCACATACATAAATTTTGAATTATGGTGGTAAACACTGTAAACATGAATACAATGAATTGCAGTTTTGTACAGAATGATCCTTTAAAAGATAATAAAAGTTACAGTATACGTTTAGAAAAAATTAAAATAGGTCTGACAGTAGATTCTTCAATAAATGATCCTGAACTAAGTTTGCAATCAAGTATTTATAGTATTACAAACCCCAAATCATCACACAGAACTTGGTGTGTCTGTTTTCAAATGCGTCTTAAGTCTCCCCATTAAAGTGTGAATTAAGATGCCGGAGGAAATCCCCCCTGGATGTAATGGATGGTGGGAAAACTGCTTGACAGAATTCACATACTCGAGGTATATGCAGTTCTGCGCCCGTGCCACTGAGTACCGATGATAAGTCACTGTCTTGATGAGGAAAGGGCTTCCAAACGGGCTGCAGGGAACAAATAAACAAAAACATCTTCTGTTATTTGTATTTAAAATCAACTTGCATTGAATTTCAAATTCCCTAATATGAAAGCAAATGACCTTTCCATAGAGTTAGCATGAGGACACGACTCAATTCTCTTTTTCATAAAGGGCACAACTAAATTTTGATTAAGAATCACTTAAAATACACATTCATGCACTTTGTCTTCACATATTTAAAAACCCACCAGCTTTAACATCAGCACATTTTAAAACCCGTTATCACAATGGCAGTAATTTTGCAACAACAGTCAATAATTGAGACTTTTAAATATTAAATTCTATCTTTTCTATTTTACAATAGAAACCTTAACTTATAGGGCCTTTATTAATACATAGTACACTAGACATGATTTGTGTGTACATGCATTTTGATCAAGAGCAATTTAAATTTCACTATTTATAAGCAAATATACAATGAATAAATCATATAGAAATGTGGTGTTTTGATTTCTGAAATTCTTTTCTTATAAGGTACTAAACAAATTCCATTGATCAGTTGTTTTTTGAAACCTCAAATATTTAATCATTCAACAAAATCTGACACTGGATGCATTCTTTTGACTTCTTATTTTGCTCCTGTTATATAGCGCAGAGTTTGGTCTTCTTTACTCTTTCTTGCAGCTGAATAAAGTGAAACCTGCCCATAGGTGCCCAATTAAAGGATTATGGAAAATCATAATTCAACAGAACTACCTCCATTATAAGCAGCACATATATACCCTTAAATGTTAACTGCATTTATTATTTTTTTAAAAAAAAGTCTAGAAGGGAAAGAAAAAGCATTTAGTTCAACAGTAGGTGCTCAATAAATGTCTGTGGACTGGAATATCTTCTTCTTCTAAAATGTGCTAAGCCAAATTATTTTTTAAATTTGCATTCTTACCTTGACATAGGTAAATTACCTTGACATAGCTAAATTTTGATACTTTGAGGAAAATCACCTCAAAAAGTCAATTTAAAGAGACCTCTTTGCACTCCCATTACTAATATGTTTTTAAAGTAACAGCCTAATCCAACACCTGACACAGCATTAGTTTCCATTCCCTTAACCAATGTCCTTCATTCTAGTTAACCAATCACTTATATAAACAGTATATTACTAATTGAAGCATTTGGGTTTCACGGCATCACTATTTTCTTATAAACATCTTACTGGACAGCTGTGTACAGTTGGTGTAAATATACAAAGTCTGTCTAAGCACCGAGATACATTAAATATCAGTACAGAGGGCTTATAATAACACTGACTCAATTCCTTGTGAGAAGTGGCAATTTTATTACAAAAAATAGTAATATTTAAGTATACATTTTGAAATTTGGGGTAAAATAATTTTCTTTAGAAAAATCTTTCTTCCATGATAAAAGAAGAGCAGTAATAATTGTGAGTATATAAGCAAAAATCTAGTTAGAGTTAACTAGATTTAAAATTCACTGTTTGCAGTTTAAACAAAAAGTACAATTGATTAATATGCATCACTCTAATGGGAAATTTATATGATATAAATAAAAGATTATTATGTTAAAGATAATTCTTAAGGTCTATAAAATAGTAATAAATAGACTTAGAAGCAACTTAGCTTCTAAATTTGGTGAGCCAATCTTCTACTGCCAATTTATCTTCAAAGTCCCTATCTATCCTCCTCTATTAGGAGCTATTAGTTCAGATTTGATCTCTTCCTGGAATTCAGTTGGGACCCCAATAACTGACTCAGTAAAGTAATAAGAAAAGCAAAGCACATAGAACAAAAATAAGAAGATAAATTTTAGACTTTATGGTAGCTAAATGTTTAAAAAAGGTGTTAAGTAGTAATGACTGATATACAGTAAAAATTTGAAATATGTAACCAAAATTTCACTTCTCTTTGTTATTAGCAACAACTCAAGGATTCTGTATTTATCATACTAGCCTTATTAATGCACATATAATAGCAAAATGTTTTTAAAAACCCATTTTAAGAAATATTCTTTCAATCCTAAACTGTAACATGGCCTTCAAAACAAACTAATTTCTTTGCCTTTTCTGCCAAAATATCAATTATCTAACCTTATGCCCCATGTCTTGTGACAGCTCAACACCAATTCTCCTGCATTTTTTAAGCTGAATACTTTTCCATCAAGTTGTAATCACATACCAGCTGTTTCCCTTGCTGTAGCATAGAAAGCAAATGCACAATGCAGGGTGCCATCTACTGAAACATGAATGCACAGACTAACTAGTAAAAGAACAAGCAAGAGAGAGAATGGAGAAAAAAGTAACAAGCATTAGAACTGATGCACTTCACAGCTCCACAGGAATTCTTCTTGCAATAAGTGAAATTGTTTAATTTGTTTCATTTAGTAGTAACTATAACTCAGATGATGATGTGAAATAAGGTATAATGTAGAACATAAATGAGTTTATAATGAAAGCTTATTGTCAGAGATGCCTCGTTTCCCCACTACTAAAACATACCACAGCTTGATTACTACCTCCTTTGTATGCTGATTTAAAGGCTATAAACTATAAGAGTGCTTATAAAGCCAAAGGATATTCACCAAGTTGCTTTTTTTTGAAATTAATATCTCAAGGCAAAGAGAAATCAAACAAATGTTTGCAAGTTATATAGACATTTATACTAATCTGTATTTTCATGAGCTTCTGTTTATTGTAACAATTATATATTTTTCATTTGCCTTCAGGCATTAATTTTTTTTTTTATGCTGAAGGAATCATTCTGTGATAGAACCTGAATAAAAGGGAGGATAGGAATGGACTGGGGGGCTGTAAGTAGTCTGCAAGCTTTAGAAACATTAAAGTATTTGATTAAAATCATATGTATGCAGAGACTATTTAAAAAATATATTAGGCTGCAGGTTCAGTGCCAGATTAGAAACCAAAACCAAAACCAAACCCTACAGACTACGTACTGCGTAACTGAGAATGAAATAGAAGCATTAATTGAAAGACAGTTCATTTGTTTTGATAAATAGTAATATACAATATGATTATTTACTTATGAAAAATGCATTCTTGTAAAGATAAGTATGATATAAACTTTTTAATAAAAAAATGTCATTTGTTTCACAGTATGAAATTTAATATAGAATCCCATTATAATACTGATGCTGAGTAAAAAAGCTTTGAATAACAGGGGCTAAGAAAGTGACACACTAGATATGGATAAGGCTTACACATATTTTAAAATGTGCCATAAAATTTAAGGTACTTTATAACAGAGTTTTACCATATTCATCTTTTATAATTTCATGTCATTTATTATAGGACTTGGATTTCTTATTGAAAGCTTAATTTGGCTAGTCATTAGTTTAAAAAGGATGTCTGATAACCTGAAAGAGATGCGTATCTGTGCATGTATGGCAAAATGTGTGTTCACACATAATATATTTGTTACTGTAAAACAGTTACCTGCTGTGGTCCTCGGATGGCTTTTCCAGGGGAATCGAGTGAAGGAAAAGATGCATCAGACGGGTCCTGAAGTGGGAATGTATTTACATATAATGCATTATGATCTCCAGGTGGCAAACACGGAGCTCTATCCAGAGCTGTCCTGATACAAGTGTTTACAGGATTTGAGGGTTTTGTTTTGTCAGTTGTTTTAAGGTTTTGTATAGCTGAAGCTATGGGGTCAATTCCCTGAATTTCAAATAAGGTTTCTTCTGTTTTAACAAAGTTTCCCGGGTTGTCTCTGAACTCCACATTAAATTTATCCTGGCACACGGCCTCAGATGTGGCAGGACCAAGGACGTTGGGTCTTTCTGCAGTGCTATGTAAGAAAGTAGAGTCACTGTCCATAGGTGGAAACTTGATGTTCAATTTAGAAAGTGATTCAAAAGAGGTGTCTTCCTCATCTTGGCCCACTCCTCTCGGTGTGACAGATGTGATGCATGGTGCACCTCTATTTATATCATCTTTAGCCTGAGGCTTAAACAGCACTTCTTGTTTATCTGTTTTATCTGTACACTGTACAGGCACAGAGCACTGTGTTTCTGCAAGGAAAAGAACACAAAAGGAAAACAGTCGTATTCCAATCATTCTTAAAAATCTGAATGTTCAATTAGCTTTGGACAGATGAGTATTATTTTTCCTACTAGTTTTTATGGCAACTGAAGACAATTGGGATTTTTTACATTTGCTACCATTTACAATTGCTTATTAGTTGCAGTTTAACTACTTTGTCTTTTCCTAGGTGTTTTGCTGTAAGCTTTGCATCTTGTTCACAGTTATACTGCTCTACACTTAAAAAACATTTGCTTGTAGTGTATACATTTAAACATTTGTCAGTAATGGAAGCTGCAACTGTGAGCTTGCTTAGACAAATCAGTTGTTAAAAAGGAAAATCCCTACTAGGCATATATATATATACACCATACAGGTAAGAATCTATATGAATTAGGTGATTTATTCCCCCTAACATCACTGTGTGACAAAGTTATCACCAATCAATTTAGCCATTGTCTACTCGCAATAATCTATGTGAGGGAGTGGTGGTGGTGGGGGTTAGGGAGAAAGAAGACAGTGGAGGCAAAAGAAGAATGTAATTTGGGGATGCATGTTCAGAAAATTTTATGTGAATACACAATTTTCTCATTTTATATACATATATATATGGCCTCTGTGGATAACAGGTAGATGCCAGGGTCTCTATAGCTTATATATCTAGAAGTCACTTACAGAACAAATTCGGCTCTCTAGGACACAGGCAAAAGCTAGAAAGTAAGTAAACAGAGCTTCTGAGGAGTCAGAATTAGAGCCACAAGCTCCAGAGCTACATAAATTTTGCTCTTATTCTCATTTTAGATTTATTCTAACAAGCTTGATGATGTTTCCCTAGCTCACAGCTGGTTAGAAGCAGCAAATTACAAGGTATGGATATGAGTTGTTGAAGGCAGACATAGATATCAACAAGAGCTGAAAGCATGAGAGGAGACAAGAAAAACAAAAAGCAGATATAAGAACTTGGAAAACACTACAGCCTAGTGTAGGGCCAACAAGGGCTACATTCTCTGCAAAAAAGTAATGATCAAAGCACTCTCCATGTTGATGATCCTGAGACACTAGAAAAAGCTAAATTGTGTACCACAATGCTATTTCAAGAAGGCAGTGAGATTGGAGGTTGGTAACGTGCATACTTCCATTAAATGGACAAATGATAAACATTAAAGAAATTAGCACTTTATTGTTTTGGGTGGGGAAGACTGGCCCTGAGCCAACATCTGTTGCCAATCTTCCTCTTTTTTCTTGAGGAAGATTGTCGCTGAGTTAACATCTGTGCCAGTCTTCCTCTATTTTTTGTACATGGGATGCTGCCATAGTGTGGCTTGATGAGTGGTGTGTAGGTCTGTGCCTGGGATCCAAACCCATGAACCCTGGACTGCTGAAGCGCAGCCCGAGAACTCAACCACTACACTACTGGGCCGGACCTCCAAAATTAGCACTCTAAAAAGGTAGTGGTCAGTGAGGTTGTACATTTACAATGGAGACTTCAACAGTGATGCCTATTTATGCAGACAGGGTGTGCAGAGCACTTTGCATAGTGTCTGTCCAGGTTAGCAGGCACTTAAACGTCAGCTCATTTCCCTTCCTCTGGTCTTTGCATCTCAGGACACCTTTCTATCTTTTGCCACAGCACATTTCAACATGAGAAATCTTCCGTTTGGACATTGCTGTAGTACAATGCAACCAACTTTTTGGTTCATCCTGTTATATATCTCCTGCTTCTCTTTAGTACTTATTATCTTCTCTTACTGGATTATTACAATAGCCTTTGAATTGCTTCCTTGCCTCTAAATTTATCTCATACTCAATCTATTTTCTACATTGCATCCCCCTTACCTCCCCTTAGATTTCTAAAGTATAAATTTGGTCATGTTATCTTCCTAATAAAAACTTTTCATGGCTTTCCAAGGCCCTCAGCCCTTAAAGTCATACAAAACTGTTCATGATTGGCCCCTGGTCCCCTCTCCATGCTCTCATCTTTCACCATACCTGTTTCACTCCTTATTCCAGCTGTAATGAACTTTGGTACAGTTCATGTTCTCTTGTCTTTGGGCCTTTGCACATGCTGTGTGGACTGCCTGAAATGCCCCCTCCCATTACTCTTTGCCCAACTCTTATTTGTTCTTTATGTCCCTGGATGACTCTCTCCAGCTTCCCAAGACTGGTTTAGGCTTGACTCTTGTGTGCCCTGACAACTAAATACTCTGCATTGTATTTGCAAGTCTATCTCTCTTTCTCCCATTAAAGTAAGGTTTTGTAAGGTCCTGAACTATGTCTTGCTTCCTGCTTATACCCGGTACCCTGTCCTGTGCCTGGCACATGGTATGTCCTCAATAAATACATTCTGGATGAATCTGGATTCTCTTCCCTGCAGAGCCAAGTATAATAATCTATATTTACCAGATAATCTGACTAGGAAAAGTACGGTAATTGAGACTAAACTCCAATGTTTAGCAGGATTTCTTTGTCCTCTGAGGTTCTCAAAGTCCATTAACTCTCAAGTAGTCATTTTTCCTGGTAGTAGACTTAAGAGTGGCAGGAAAATCTAGGAAACAGTACTTTCTTTGTAGGTTATAAATTTGTTAATTGCAAATAACAAATCAGGAAAACCAACTGTTGAGGTAACCAAATTCTGTAACACCTAAAAATGAAGAAACACTTATCAAAATGATACTCACAAGGAGAACAGGGTGAATGCCAAAGAATCTGCTGCTGCTGCTAATGACTACTAACATTAATAGCACTTCTACGTGCCATGTACTGTTATAATCACTGTATGTGCATTAATTCATTTAATACTCAAAACAATCACATGGTAGGCACTACATTATGCCCACTTTACACGTGAAGAAACTGAGACAGGGAGAAGTTAATTCCAAGCTACACAGCTAATGAATGAGTGGTAGACCTGGCACTGAAACCCAGGCAGCCTAACTCTAGAGCCTGTGCTCTGAACTGCTATGCTAAATTGAACATGCTGGTTTCTATATATAGAGGAGTCCCCCAAACGACAGAAATGTGCTTTAAATTTCTTTTCCAGTAGTTGACCTATCTTCATTGTGAGCAGAACACGGAAAACCCAAATAGCTATAATAAAGCAGATTATTTTCTTTCAGGATAGCTAGCTGGCATAAGTCAGCCACATTAAAATAATCTTCTGAATTAATGTGCTCAAGCATGAGAGTTACTATTTACAAAAAAAAAAAAAAAAAAAAAATTAAACCTAAGATTTCTAAGGCTACTAGAAATCCAGGCTCAGAAAACTTAAAACTCAAACAAGGCGCATGAAAGCACTCGTCATCCTGACACTATACTGAGAAACTTGATCGGGTGAGCAAACTGCTTTTCTATTTTGTCTATTTTAAGAACACTTACTTTTTCAAGGAAAAAAGTAAAATGAGAAACATTTTTAGATTTCTATATTTTAAATACTGCCTGTCCATTTGGATTACTTCTCAGTTTTTACCTCGTATATTGACAGAAGAAAAAGATCTGATGGTTGTTTGTAACCTCTAATTCTATATTCTTCTCTCCTGATCTCCACTGAAATAGGAACCTTCTTTATGGACCAAATAGTATATTTTTTGAAGCCACATTTGCGTAACTGTACATTTTATCTTTATCCCTTCTCAAGGCTATTGTCATATGTGGATAAGAACAAAAACAAAGTAATAAAAATGAAATGTACAATTCTACTAAGAACTCAGCAATTTTCATGAATTATATCTGTGTATTTAAAAGTAAAAGTCAAATTTGAACAAAAATTAACATAGGGACAAAAATGTTATATATACTCTTTCTAGATGTGTTATACAAATCACATTTGAAATAGTTTCTTTGTATTTTTATTCAATGTAATGTTCATCCTTGAAAAGCCTGAATAGGCATCTTTTTCCAAAACATTTCTTCTTATTTCTTTCTCCTCGTGATCTACTGTCAGAAGTACAATATTTGATATTTTGGTTTCTGTTTGAACCTAGCAAAACTTCACTGGAGTCTGTAGCACAACAGATCTAAAAGATTTCAAGGATAATGTTATATTTATTATTTGTGACACAGTTAATACAAAGTATAAGAATAATGTTAGGAAGCCGTTTTAGTGGGGAAGAAATTGAAGTTAAACACTCAGTGTTCTAGTTGACAGATACGTACTCAGATTTAGACCTGTGCAATTTAAAAATGGTCAAAGTATTAAGCCACTGATAATGGGGTAGGTTTTCTGTGTAGCAATGAATATCTCACCATTACAATGTTTTGATAAGATGTTGATGTTCAAAAAAGCATGTTTATGAATTCTAGGTACTACATCTCTATAGCTACTATATTTTAAGTAAAAATGATTCTTTTACTTTAGAAGTATCTAGTGTCCAAGTACTTAGTCTGCACAAAATATCAATTTCTCACGAAAATGGCAAAAATTAAGATGGAAAAATTGAAGTGGTTTTTGGGGGCATAGGGGGAAATGAGGGGAAGAAACAAATTATGTCTGTCTTCAGAGATTGTTTTGTTTCTCCAACACCACATTGTCTACCTTTTCTGAAAATAAAATGGTAGTAGGAAGCAAAAAGTGAACTTATACTACAAAATGATTTTTAAATAGCCTAGATATACGAGCTGTAAGAAATGGAAAGTGCTCTTTAATTAAAGGGGTGTTAGCACTGCTGCAACTTCTCTCAGAGTGAAAACCACAAATCCATCTCTTGGGAACTGTACGCAGAATCTCTCAGATCACGAGGGTAAAGGAGAGTTTGTCACTACAAATCATCAGTGTACCTTCCTACTGTTTACGGGAGGGCTTGGTGGTCAGGCATAAGCTGTTCACATGGAAAGGCTGGAGCAAGCGCCAGGAAGCCAGTCTGGGATTTTAGGGAAGGTGGAGTTTTCACAGAACACTGCAACACATGTGTGCAACAGATGTTCCTTTTAAGCTATATTTTATACTAAATTTGCACTTGGTGTCTCCAACAGAATGGGCTACATGAAATGTGAAACATTTATTTCTTGAACCAAATTATAAGAATTTATTCGTAGTGTTCAATTAACTTTCAGGTAGAAGTTTTTACAAACAAACTTGAGGTTATAATTTTACTTACTGCTCATTTATTGGTAGTGCAGCTTCAAGGGTGCTTACTAATACATGAATTAGTGTTTAATAAGACTCCCAAAGAGCAATGAAAACTTTGAGAGATATATCCCGTATTTATTTTGTACTTTTTCCAAGGTTGGGACTTCTCATTAAAATGATTAGTAATTATCTCATTCAATTCAATCTATATAGTACCACACACAATAAAGAGAGAAGGAAAAAGCCAGCAACTATATAATGTAGTACATTACGGAACTTAAACAACACTTACCCCATTACAATGGTGAGGTGCAAGTTGCAGATCTCTAGCACTTAAGCATTTAGAAATATTTTCACAATCAAAAAGAAATCAATTTCAACCAATAAAATTAATATTACTATACATTAAATCAAACCTTACCAGTTGCAGTGACTGGTACATTAAGTTTGCTTAAGTGGTCTTTTTGGGCTTTTGCTAGCATGCATATTCTATGAAATTCTTCTTTCAGATCACAAAAAGTCTTCTCTATATAACCCCTAAAAATAAACCAATATTTTAAAATATAAGGCTATATCTTCAAATATTTTTTATCATAATTAAACTTACATAGCACCTTTTTATGTACCACAAAATAATTATTGAAAGGTTAAAGTTAAAAAAATTTTTTTTAATTCCTAGAAAATGTCCCCCAAACTACTCTAATATTTAGAGAGCCAAGCACAAAGTAAGCAATAAATTAAAAGTTCTAATACATAAATGTAGTGCAGAATAAGCCTATCTACTTATTCATATATCACAATTATGCTGGCTGTCTCATTCTCATATTAGAAATTTCAATGTATTGATTCTTGTTCTCTGTAAACATCTTAAATAGAAAATTAAATATTCATTACTTTGATAAGGTCACATTAAGACCCATGCATATAAAACAATGTGGCATTAATACTTGGTCAACTGAAATACCAGAGCTGCAGAAAGTTCAGTTTTTAGATCCATCTCTGCTATTAACTGTATGACTTATTTAGGTCATTTTCACATGGAAGAGCCTTGAGTTGGTCACCTCCAGTTCTAAAAGGCTACTTTTTGTTACAATTGCTAAAATTTTAAAATACATAAATAAAAATATATTTCAATATTTATGATTTTTAGAGTTGGTAAAAAAGGATATAGAACTACCTTTCATGGAATAAAGGAATGCCAAGACTCCTTGGTGAAGTTTCTTTTCTAGGAGAAGAAACCTCTTGTCTTCTTACCTTAAAGACACAAAATAATTACCACTTTAAATTGCTTCTAAATGAGAACGGGTTAACAGAAAACACAATGGAAAATTTATCTTCCTCAGTGAAATCCTAAGTTTAGGTACCTTACAGATATATATATAATGTCTAATAGATTTTTTTCTTTAAATGAGAACCATCAGGGAAAAAGGAAAATGAAGGTGTAGAAAAACAGGATGAAGACATGAAGTATTTCTGGTAACTTTTTCAATTACTATTTCCAGTACTGATAATTCAAGGAATTTATTCAAATTCAACTATTGATCAAAATTGCTACTCTGATTACCAAGCACCTTATTTGACTAGAAACTTTAGGAAAAAAAAAAGAATCTGTGTTTGTGTGTGTGTGTGTGTGTGTGTTCACTTCTTTCCCATTGTTCGCCTATACATTTAAATCACTGTCTTTGTATTCTGTTATAGATTCTTTGCTGAGGAATGCAGCTGTATCAGAGGAAGAAAGAAAACCAAACTACAGACAGCTCCTTAGCATTTAACAGGCATTTTAAAGATACTGCAATTATGCACGAAGCTACTTTACCACAAGTTCTTGCCTTTCACTCCCACCGTGTGGCTTACACTGGTATTACATTTATTCTGACAAAAGTCAACATTAAAGAACATGTTGTAATAACCTACTGTATGGTTTAGGCTTTTGAAAAAATCTTCAATCATATATAGAAAAATTTTGTGTACCTTCTAAAGCTATAAATTGAAAAATTCAAAGATCTGAAGTCCTATTATTACACAATCATAAATTATAATTTGGCCAAAACTGTATAGGTCTTATTTTAGTTCAAATTCAAACCTGTGGATATTTATATTTAGCGACTTTTTAGATTTTATTTAATTAAGGTAATTGTAGCTATTTTTAAAATAGATGCTTTTATTACATTGTGTATCATCTGAGTACACTTTCCTTTAATCTTGCTTTTCAAAAAGTTCTTTCAATTTCTTAGGAGTCCTACTTGTTCTTTAAGAAGAAGACTTGATTCCAGTTTGTTTTCCTTAAAATTAATATCTTCTTCAATTTATTAGTTTTTGCTCAGTTACTGGTCTACTCTTCCAGCTTTTTCTAAATATGAATGTTTGGTTAACATTTCTAAAATAGAGTATTACTTTACAGTAATTAGTAAAACAAAATCTTGGCGACCTAAACAGTTTGTGATTTTATATATTATGCTGTCAGACTGAGGTATAATAAAGATCATTTGCTGCTGCATACTTTCTGTCTGACAAATATTTAGGCCATGTCTTCTTATGAATTACAACTGCTTTATTGAGCTTTATAAAGCCGTCACATCAGAAGACATTTTCACATTCACAGTTTGTTTTTAAAAGTGGTAGACAAGGTTTTTCTTTAGTATTATGTGCAATTAGAATACTCAATGAATTTTAGTGTGGACTAGGAAAAAAGGAAACATTTTAAAGCTAGCCAACCATTCAGGATACTACAAGTATGAAAGAAATTTTTAAAAGATTATATTATAGTAAATCTATATCAACAAAATGAGAGAAGAGGTATTAAGATAATAGGAACATCTGACAACGTAATATGTTAAACAAATCATAATAAGTGATTAAATGAAATGATTAATCTCTTCTTAAAATTTACTACTAGACATTCTCAATGCGAAAAAAATTATCTTACTAGGAGCTAGAAAGAATCAATAAGAAGTACTCCGTAATTTCAGCCTAAAAATGAAGTTAGATAACAAAGTGGTAAAGAAGACTATCCCATTTCCCAAGTACTGATTTTGACGATAAACTAGAAATGACTGTCCTGACGTTAAAGACGTCTAAAACATTAAGCAGGTGGGAAGACAGAAGGAGGTGAAGGAAAAGGTAGGAGAAGAATGATAAGCTTGTGTTTGGCTTGGCAAATAACTAGTATCAACTTACATCTGTGATGTTTCCATTTTATAACTGGTGTGGGAGAACTGATCTGGAAGAGATTCTCTGGGTGTACTGGCCAGGGGAAGGGAGGCCGCACTTACTGCAGTATCTATTTCTATGACCTCTCTAAACTAAGGGCTTCAGCTTATGTGGGGTTAGGAACACGCTCTGCTTACTATTATTTTTGTTATTATTATTGAAGAAAAGTATTACTGATTGTACTAAGCAATACCTGCACCTTCTATCATTCACATCAAATAAATATGTTCATATATTTTGAATGACAATTTTAGGTCCCAGCATCCCAAGAAAAAATTTCAAAAAGGGACCTTTTAACATGTTAGTTCAAAGAAAAAAGGCAAGCAGTTCTCTGACAGACATTTTGAAGCTGGGTTTACCTAGAACGGGTGTAGCATGTTAATCTATCTTCCATTGTACCAATCTGACACAACTTTCTGAAACTATTTTTTCAAAGGATTTAGGACTGGTATAGTCAATGACGCCAACACTTTCCCCAGAAACTCAGACTTTCTTTTCAGTGCTAAATTATCTTACTTAATGAAGACTACCCAGTTTGTTGAGCATCCCAGAAATTAAGTAAACATTAGAAGAGGTAACTTGTATTTTTCTTTCTATTCTCAAATGCTATCTGGGTGGACTGTGCAACGCAGCAAGTTGAATTTATTGCAACTTCAAATAAAAAAGCAAGGGAAATTTGAACATTATATTTTAGGAGATTTTAAACGTTAAATCATTCAACAAATGAATTTATCTTGAGGTTCTAAAACTTAAAATACTTAACATTATAAACTGTTCCAAGTACTAGTTTGGAAATGCCGAACTTGTGGAATGAATACAGAAATAAGAGTTTTACACATCGTACTTTTCATTTACACTTCCAGTATGGCGCTGGATAAATCATTCAACTAAATCATTAAGATAAATCCATTTCAAACAGTTGGAAGATGTTGTGAAATGATTCCTTAAATTTCCTCTTATGTGAATTGGGAGAATTTTGTTTTAGGGTAAATCAATTTAAGCTTCTCATAGATGGGTAGCATATAAAAAATACATGTTTGAGGGCTAGTTGAATAAGCAATGATATTTAAGAAGGAGAAAAACAAAAAGTAGTTAATAGTTCATTAGTCCAAATCCAGATTTATTCTTAATGCAAAGATAATGGAAAATGTTTTTGTGTTGGGAGTCCAGGATCTGTTAGACATCAACATCTCAAAGAAGGAAATGTACATTTTCCCTAATGTCTGGCTTTTTTTACATTTGGTACTAAAAGTGAAATTATTTCGTTCCTTTTATAAACCAACTGAAAAATACAGAAATGATTCACAATAGCTAAGATACGGATTCAACTTAAATGTAAATTGATGGATGAACGAACAAAGAAATACACAGGAATAGTGTATATACACACACACACACAATGGAATATTGAATACATACAGGAATATTTTAAGGCTGAATACATCAGCCTTAAAAAAGAAGGACATCTTAACATTTGAGACAACATGGATGAACCTGGAGGGCATTATGCTATATGAAATATGCTAGGCTCAAAAGGCAAATACTGCACGATGTTATGTGTGGAATCTAAAAAAGTCAGACTCATAGGAGCAGAGCATAGAATGGTGGTTTCCAGGGTTTGGGGGGTTGGGGGAAATGGCGGCAAAGTTTCAGTTATGCAGGAGGAATAAGTTTGAGAGACCTAATGTATGGCATGGTGACTATAGTTAATACTACCATATTGTATACTTGAAACTTGCTGAGAGTAAATCTTAAATGTTTTCACCACAATAAAAAAGAAAGGTAACTATGTGAAGTGATGGATATGTTAATTAAATTGATTGTGGTAATCATTTCATAATGCATACATATATCAAAACATCATGTTATGCACTGCAAATACATACAATTTTTGTCAATTATACCTAAAAAAAGCTGGTGGAGAAAAAAGAAATGCAATGAAAAATTTTAATTCAGAATCATGCTTTTTCTTAGAACTTCTAAGCAATTAAAGTTAGCAAAATTAAATTGAGTTATGGAACTTTTCAAGATATTAAACTCACTAATATAATGTATATTCTCTCATATGGAAGAAATCTAAACTTTAAAAGGCTAGGGCCAGCCCCAGAGGCTTAGTGGTTAAGTTCAGTGTGCTCTGCTTTGGTGGTACACCACTCATCAGTGGCCATGCTGTGGCAGCGGCCCACATACAGAATAGAGGAAGATTGGCAATAGACGTTAGCTCATGGCAAATCTTCCTCAGCAAAAAAAAAAAAAAAAAAAAAAGGGCTAATACTGAATAAAGGTAGTAAGTTTTCAATGAGACATATTTGAACTGTAGCAGTGACTATCACTTTACTCCAGGGTTCATATCAAAGATTCCCTCTAAACTTTAGTTGAGATCCTTGCATGCAAAACTCGAATATTTATTTTTAGGTAGCTCAGGTAACTGAGTGTAGCCAATATTTGACTTTGTTTCTGGATGAGGCTTAGAAGAATCATGCTTTTAAAACAGAAAAGAGAACTATGCTCTTAGAACAATGTAAACCACGGAATAAGCCAAGGTGAGATGGGATAGATTAGTAAAGGGAATATAAACTGTGGAACAGTTATAAATAATGCTTGATAATTTACTACAGAAAAAGGAAAAACGAGCAGTAGAAAAAGAATCTGAAAAAAAGGATTTACTTTTATCACTTAGACTTTTGAAACTAAGAATGAAATGTTAAAGGATAACCTGAGGTTGAATATTTCCTCACCAGTTTTAGATATACTGAGACAAAGATGTTAGAGTGAAGTCAAGCACTGAATATGGTTGAACCAGGGAGTAAGGGAGAAAAGAGCTGAGACAAGAAGAGATTAAGGTAGAAAAGAGAAACAGAAAAAAATTACTAAAAAGAGATTTGATAGGAGTAAATATAAAAGTATAGTAAAAGAAAAGTTTAAGGAGAAAAGATAAAAATAATATAAGGAAATTATATTTATAAGACTTTATGGCTATGTAAATCTATGGTTCTCTCACCCTCATTAATATTACTGAAAATCTAGCAAAGCAAGAGGAACAC